CCCCAAAACCCCAAAACCCCAAAACCCCAAAACCCCAAATCCTGAAAAATAATTTGAATTCAAATGGCTATTACTTGCTTATAACTTCTTTAATGGCTTCCTCAATCAGCTGATAGAGTGGAGCCACAGGTGTTCAAGCTATTATTTGGATATTACTCCCTTCAGGAGTACATCTCAGGAGGATGGGAATATTGTTCACAGTTGATGTAGCGAATATTTGGCTGTTCAACTCGTCATATATCGGATAGAAAGAGTTGGACTGCATTCTTGTCTTTAAATCAGAGGCTGATCCAGCAAATCTTGCACTGCTAACTGTAAATGAATGCTTATTCGCTATACTATTTGCCATTTGCTGTCATTGGGTTTGGGTTACTGCAACTGGGGTTCCTTGTAACAGGGTATGGAGCAATCATGGCAACTGGAAATAATATACATCCAAAGAATTTTTAATAGCAGTCTGAACGTAATATGGGCACTGTGGAGGGTTTTTCAAATCTGCATTACTTTGGTCAATTGAGCACTCAACTGTAGTAGTGAATGTTTGTCCAGCAGAAATAGGAATAACACTGATTGGTCCTGGCTTCAATCCAAATGGATTCTTGTTGATCATGATGTCAAAATCTGAAATTATTCCAGCAGTAGAATTGTAGAAAATCATATCTAGCTTAATCGAAGTCCCTTCTCGATAGAATCTTGCTTTAATCTGCAAACCTGCTGCTTTATTTTGAGATCCAGGAGTTGATGAACTCAGTACTTCAGCATGTTCTGATTTAATAAACAAAGAAGCTTCACTTCCTGAAGCTCCAAAGCCACCAAATAATCCATTATCATCCCATGGAGATGCTGCTTGAGTCGATTCACCTCCTCCATTGCCTTCATCCAAAATTCCTGCTAGAGGATCAACTGCTGGTTCATCATTCGACACAGGATCATCTCCAATCCCAAGTCCAAAGATATCATCAAGGTCATCTTTAGGCTTGTCCTCAGTTACTACTTCTTCGGGAAGCTCGATCTCTTCCTTAGTTTCTTCCTCTTTGACTTTCTTTTGCTTCTTACTCTTCTTGTCCTTCTTCTTTGATTTCTTAGGCTTCTCTTCCTCTTCTACTTCTTCATCAGAATCTGGTTCTGGAGCTGAAGCTGTTTTCTCAGGTCTTAATGCAGAATGTTTTGTGTCGGAAATGAAAATGTCTATGAAGATGTCCCTTGTCTCATCGTCCATGAGCTTGGTAAGGTCTTCTTCTACTTCAGGACGCTTAGCCAAGACAGTATCTTTGGTTTGAGAGGGATCTGTCGAAAGCATTCTCCAGTAAATATATCCTCTATCTCTCAGGTCAGGATTAGCTGATGACTCAGATGCGAGTTTTAGCACATTCATCACCATGTCTTCATAATTGTCAGAATCCTTGATGAACATCTTCACTGCTGAGGTGAGGATTTGTAAACAGACATTAATGTTTTCATCAGTGAAGGAGTCAATGTAGACCTGTAGTTTTTCTCCAGCATCTTCAATCTTCTTCGAGTACTCTCCCAGAATCCAAATGAATGCTGATTTACTCTCTGGCTCATCAATTCTGTCCTGTTGTTTGACGATGTCTTTAACAAGACTTTCGAACTTTTTAGGGTATTTTCTCAGAATTTTACTTGCAACAATGACGGCTTCCTGTAGAGCAGAGTCAGAACCTTGTTCTTGATTAACATGCTCTCTTAAAGCTTCCACTCCTTTCTTGGCAACTCTGTCTACTTTGACGACAACCTGGCCGATAGCTTTGACTGATCTCCTGACGAAGTCTTGGTCAATATTGTTGCAGTACTCATGGAGCTCAGTGATGATGATATCCACATTAGTGTTGTCAGCAACTCCCACCATCACATCCAACTTTGCCAATTTGACGTAAATTGGATCTGAGAATCTACAGAAGAACATCTTGACATTTTTCTCGAATACATTTGGAATCTGCTGCAGGATCAATAGAATGTTGCACAGAGCAATGTACTGAATCTCTGGTTCAGATGAAAGCAAAGTGATCAATGGAGCAGATAACTTCTTGAGAATAGTAGTCTTGTTAGATTTGAGATTTACAAATTTCAAAAAGTGGAGGACATTCTTTGTCGCGCCCAACACAACGGCTGGATTTGCATGCTGCAAACGAGGCATGATCCTTTCTATGATCTCCTCTGCTTCCTTCTGCTCCTTAGGCTTATAGTTGATGATACTTTCCAAAATGTAGATTTGCCCCCATTCGTTGGTCTCGTTCAATGTGTTTAGTAACTTTCCAATAGTCTCTTTGTTAGCTTTTAGATAGTTCTTGCCTGCTACTCTTGAAATTTCAAATAGGGCAGCCACTGCGTTTGCAACCACAATAGCATTCCCATCCTGTAATAGCCCTTGGAGGAGTTTGATGAAGCCCAATTCTTTTGTATGCTCGGGCATGGTATGATAGATCTTTGCTACCGAGATAGCTGCTGTCTTCTTTACATAAGGATCATCATCTACCAGACAATCCTTTAAAGATTCTCACAAGTATGTTGCGATTTTTATTCTATCCTTATGCAGCCCATAGTTCGCACGGCCAATGCTCTAATCAAAGGATTGCTTTTCTCATGAGCATCCTTTGTGAATGCGCTAACAGCCATCAAGGTAAGATCAGGCTTGCTCTTGGCATAATTAATGATATACAAGTACACCAGCTTCTTTAGCTCAATGGAGGGACTAAGGATACATTTTGTCACATGTGGGAAGAGCCCACTGACATCCTTGCCAATGGTCATCATGGCAATGACCTGTTTCACTGCTTCCTTTTGCTCATCAACTTTGAGAGAGTTGAGTTCGATCTTCAACTCTTCAAGCTCACTGCTCTTTTTCATATAAGAACTCATATTTGATTCAATTATATTATTTAATGCAGGGGTTTTGGGGTTTTGGGGTTTTGGGGTTTTGGGGTTTTGGGG